TGAGATGCCCTGCGCCAGGTGGTCCGGCCCGTCTCGCCTGAGACATCCTCGCAACTCTGAGCTCTGAGATGCCGTGCGCCATTATTACGAACCCCACCCAAACCGGAACCCGAACTGAACTTGAATTCAAACTTGAACTGGTCCAGTTCACGACCCCGAACCAGAACTGGAACCGGAACAGAACATGAACTCAAATTTGAATTGGTCCACAGTTCACGACCCGGAACCGGAATTGAACCAGAACTCTAACCTCTAACCTGTTTTTGGCCAGTTCCCGACCCGGAACCGGAACCGGAACCGGAACCGAACGGGAACTCACACCCGAACTGGGCCAGTTCACGACCCCGAACCAGAACCGGAACTGGAACTGAACGTGAACTGAAAATTGAATTGGTCCAGCTCACCACCCTGAACCAGAGCCGGAACCGGAACAGAACGTGAACTCAAACTTGAATTGGTTCAGTTCCCGACCCCGAACCAGAGCCGGAACCAGATATGAACGTAAACTGAACTTTGAATAGGTCCAGTTCACGACCCCGAACCAGAACCAGAACTGGAATTGAACGTGAACTCAAACTTGAACTGGTCCAGTTCCCGACCCCGAACCAGAACCGGAACCGGAACTGAACTTGGATTCAAACTTGAACTGGTCCAGTTCACGACCCCGAGCCAGAACTGGAACTGGAACAGAACGTGAACTCAAATTTGAACTGGTCCAGTTCCCGACCCCAAACCAGAACCGGTACTGGAACAGAACGTGAACTTAAATTTGAACTGGGCCAGTTCCCGAATTGGAACCAGAATGGAACCGGAAGTTAAACTTGTTTTTGGCCAGTTCCCGACCTGTAACCTGAACCAGAACCGAACGGGAACTCACACCGGAACTGCAGGGCCAGTTCACGACCCCGAACCAGAACCGGAACTGGAATTGAACGTGAACTCAAATTTGAATTGGTCCAGTTCACGACCCCGAACCAGAACCGGAACCGGAAGTGAACGTAAAGTCAAACTCGAACAGTTCCCGTCCCCGAACCAGAGCCGGAACCGGAACCGGAACTGAACGTGAACTCAAATCTGAACTGGGCCAGTTCCGACCCGGAGCCGGAATTGAACCAGAACTCAAACCTCCAGTTCCCGACCCGGAACTTGAACCGGAACTAAACGTGAACTCAAACCGGAGATGGGCCAGCTCACGACCCCGAACCAGAGCCAGAACCGGAACTGAACGTGAACTCAAATTTGAACTGGTCCAGTTCCCGACCCCGAACCAGGACCGGAACCGAAACAGAACGTGAACTCAAGCCTGAATTGGGCCAGTTCCCGACCCGGGACCAGAATGGAACCAGACGTGAAACTTGTTTTTGGCCAGTTCCCGACCCGGAACCAGAACCGGAACCGAACGGGAACTCAAACCGGAGATGGGCCAGCTCACGACCCCGAAGCAGAAGCGGAACCGGAATTGAACGTGAACTCAAATTTGAGTTGGTCCAGTTCCCGACCCCGAACCATAACCGGAACCGAAACTGAACCGGAACTCAAATTCGAACAGGTCCATGCAGTTCGCGACCCCGAGCCAGAATTGGAACTGGAAATCAACGTTAAATTCAACCTGAATTCTTCCAGTACGCGACCCCGCACCAGAACCGGAAAGGGATTTGAACGTGAACTCAAACCTGAACTGTAGGACTCGGAACCAGAACCGGAACCAGAATGGAACGGGAACTCCAATTTGATGCGGGCAGGGTTCCCGACCCGGAACCAGAACCGGATTGAACTGGATTTCAAACTTGAATTGGGCCAGTTCATGATCCCGAGCCAGAACAAGAACCGGAACTGGACGTGATTTCAATTTGAATTGGTCCAGTTCCCGATCCACCCAGAACCAGAACCGGAATTGAACGTGAACTCAAACCTGAGCAGTTCCAGTTCCCGACCCCGAACCAGAACCGGAACCGGAACTGAACGTGACTTCAAAGCTGAATTGGGCCAGTTCCCGACCTGGGACTGGAACCGGAATTGAACGGGAATTCACACCCGACTTGCCAGAACCCGACCCCGAACCAGAACTGGAACCGGAACAGAACGTGAACTCAAATTTGAATTGGTCCAGTTCCTGACCCTGGACCAGAACCAAAACTGGAACCAGAACTCTTCCCCCCCCGTCGCCGGCCGCCCAAAGCGGAACCGGAACCGGAACCGGAATTGCGCCCTCCCTGTCGGCCGCCCGACCATGAACCGGATCCATAACCGGAATTACCTTCCCTCCGCCGGCCGCCCGGACCAGAACCGGAACCGGAAGCATGCGGCGGCGCCGCCACGCGGACTGCGACACTGGGACCTTAGGTGGAGCTCCCTATGGGGCCACGATGCGTGTGAGAGGTGTGCCGAACTGGGACGGCGCCGCCATGCGGATTGCGCCACTAGCACCTGAGGTGGAGTTCCTTGGTGCCGCGAAACGTTTGAGGGGCGTGCCAAAATGGGGCGCCGCCGCCATGCGGACTGCGACACAGGGACCTTCGGTGGACCTCCCTTTGGGGCCACGAATCGTGTGAGGGTGTGCCAAAATGGGGCGCCGCCGCCATGCGGACTGCGACACAGGGACCTTCGGTGGAGCTCTCTACAGGGCCACGAAACGTGTGAGGGGTGTGCCAAAATGGGGCGCCGCCGCCATGCGGACTGCGCCACTGGGACCTTAGATGGAGCTACCTATCCTATGTGGCCACGAAACGTGTGAGGTGTGTGCCGAAACTGATTGCGATAATGGTGACGATGATGAGGACGATGATGATGGTGATGATGGTGATGATGATGATGATGACGACGATGACGACGATGATGATGACGATGATGGTGATGATGACAATGCTGATTACGATGACGATGACGATGACGATGATGATGATGATGATGATGATGATGATGATGATGATGATGATGATGCTTATGCTTATGCTGATGCTGATGATGATGATGATGATGATGATGATGATGACGATGACGACGATGATGATGAGATGATGATGATGATGATGGTGATGGTGATGGTGATGATGATGATGGTGGTGATGATGATGATGATGATGATGATGATGATGCTGATGATGATGATGATGATGATGATGATGCTGATGATGACGATGATGATGATGATGATGATGATGATGATGATGATGATGGTGATGATGATGATGATGATGATGATGATGATGACTGATGATGATGATGATGATGATGATGATGATGATGATGATGATGACTGATGATGATGATGATGATGATGATGATGATGATGATGATGATGATGATGAGATGATGATGATGATGATGATGATGATGATGATGATGATGATGATGATGATGATGATGATGATGATGATGATGATGCTGATGACGGGATGAGAGAGGAGGGGGCAGCGGGAGTAAGGAGGAAGGAGGAACGCGTGGCGCTGTCTTTTCAAAACGAGGACCCAACACCACAGGATGGTTGGGGAAACTACAGGAAACCGCCAAACCGAGCTATGGTTATCTTGTGCCATCTTGGAGGCCATCTTGTGCCGTCTCGGGGCATCTTGACCCTATTTTGAGCCAAAGTCCTTTCCGCGGGATGTGCCGTCGATACCTCAGGGAGGGGGTGGGGGGAGGCGTACCCCCACCCTCATGGGAGGCGAGACAGGGTTCGGAACAGGAAAAGGCTGGTGGACTTCTGCCTGGGTCACTTTGGAGCTCCGCCAACAATGCCGATGATGTTGCAGCCCCTGCGATCATGAAGGAGCTATCGTGGAGCGAACTGGGGGACGTCATGGGGCCCCATCTCGAATGCTTCTTCGAGCCTTCATGTCCTGTCTTTGGGCCTCGGCCTGTCTTTGGGCCTGCCTGCTCCCTCATCCACATCATCCTCCTCCTCCTCCTTCTCCCTTCCATCTCCTCCTCCTTCTCCTCCTCCTACTCCTCCTCCTCCACCTCCTCTTCATTCCGAACGGCATCTCGGAGCCAAGAGTTGCGAGGATGTCTCCAGCGTAACGGGCTGGACCACCTCGCGCGCGGCATCTCGGACCCCAGAAATGCGACGATGTCTCGGGCGAAACGTGCTGCGAGAAAGTCACAGGCGAAACGGGCCCGACCACCTCGAGCGCGGCGTCTCAGAGCTCCGAGTTGCGGGGGCCTCCTGGGGGCTCCTGGGGACCTCCTGGGGCTTCCTCCCGGGGCTCCTGTGGCCTCCTTCCCAGGGGGGATATCTAACATGTGGCCGTCTGGGCCCCCCAGAGCACAAGAGCAGGAAAAATCAACGAATCGACACCGGATGTGCATTAACTTGACACGATCTGATGGGGGGCCTCCTGGGGCCTCCTGGGAGCCTTCTGGGAATCTCCTGGGGGCCCCTGGGGCCTGTCCTGGGTGTCCTGCGGCCTCCTGAAGCTCTGGGGCCTCTTGGGGCTCCCAGGGTCCCAGGGGGGATATGTAACATGTGGTCTTCTGGGCCCCCAGGCTGGACCACCTCTTGCGCGGCATCTGGGAGCTCAGAGTTGCAAGAATGTCTTGTGCGAAACGGGCCAGACCACCTTGCGCACGGCATCTCAGAGCTCAGAGTTGCGAGGATGTCTCAGGCGAGACGGGCAGGACCACGTCGCGCACGGCATCTCAGAGCTCAGAGTTGCGAGGATGTCTCGGGCGAAACGGGCCGGACCACCTCGCAAGCGGCATCTCGGAGCCCAGAGTTGCGAGGATGTCTCAGGCGAAACGGGCCGGACCACCTCTTGCGCTGCACCTCGGGGCCCAGAGTTACCGGGATGTCTCAGGCGAAACGGGCCGGACCACCTCGCAAGCGGCATCTCGGAGCCCAGAGTTGGCTCAAGTAACCATCCGGCTCGAACGGGCCGGCCCCGAGTGCCCGCGCACAGGGCGCATTCCTCCGAGTCCCCCTCCTCCTCCTCCTCCTCCTCCTCCTCCTCCTCCTCCTCCTCCTCAGGCTCTCTCCCCCCATCTCCGCATTTCCACCTCCGATGGCGATGCGCTGCCGGATCTGCGCCGCCCGCGGCGTCGACGGCCCCGCCATGCCGGGCGAGCAGGTCTGTGCGGCGCACGCGGCACTGGCCCCAGAGGCCCTGTCGCCAGGCTTGTCCGGAGCTGCCGGCGCCGCTGCTGCCGCCGCTGCGGCGGCCCAGCCGCTGCTGCCGCCGGGGCTTCCAGCTCCTGGCGATGGCTCTGCGGCGGCTGCCCCAGGGCCTGCTGCTCCGGTGTTCGCGGCCGTGCCTGGCTTGGAGCCGCGGATCGCTGCCGCCATGGACGATGACCTCGAGGAGGGTGAGGAGGGCACAGGGCTGACCCAGGCTGCTGCTGGGATGGCCGTGCACGCCCCGCTGCCCGCGCCGCCAGCCCCAGGACCGCCGCCCCCTACCCCCTGTGCCTGCGGAGCTCCCAGCGGGCCTCTTGCAGGCGCTGATCGAGGAATCCATCAGCAAGTACAGCGAGCTCGTCAGCGCGGTGCGTGCCACCGCGGCAGGGCCGGGCCCGACGCTCACCAGCAGCAGGATCGACTCGTGGCCCGCGCTCCACGAGCTGCTGCTGCACTTGGCATACCTGCCGGAGGCCGCATGTCCATGGCGCCGGCTTGGCTTCGCCCCCCTCGAGGGCCCAGAGCCGACACTGCAGGACATGGATGCTCGCTTCCGCACTGCCCGGCTCCTCTGCTCAGCCTCGCAATCCCCGACGTGGAGCCTGGCTGACCGCTCGCAGGCGGCAGCTGCGCTGCAGGCGTTCGCCGATGGGGTGCGCCAGTGCACTGACCGCCTCCCGGAGATCGTGAAGGTGCGCCGCCAGCAACGAGCGCCCGACCTCCCTCTATGGCGGGAGCTGGGCGCCTCCGCGCTGGGGATCCTCCGCGCCACGGCGCCGACGGCAGCGGAGGTGGTGCTCACGCAGTGGTCCACGCTCAAGCTCTCCGCCGAGGCCGCGGCAGCTGCGCGCCCAGGCACGCTGGCAGTCGACGCGTGTCGTCGCGCGGCGGCCCTGGCTGCCAAGGGGGACGATCGCATCTGGTCCGAGCTGGGCGGTCGTCCGGCTGTCCTCTGGGCGCCCACGGACTCTTCGGCCCTCGGCCGGCTGCTCAGGTCTTACATGAAGCGCACGGTCGCCAGCGGCGGCCCGCCGTACATCCGACTGTTGGTCCCTATGGACTTGTTCCCAGGGTGCCACACGGTCGCAGCGATCCAGGACTTGCGGTGGCACCCACTTCTCGGCGAGCGCTGGGTTGGCGCGGTGAAGAAGCTGGAGTACGACGTCACACCGTACAGCACGGTGCTTCCAGGAGCCCATGGACCTCGACATGAGCTGCGCGGCTTGGCGATCTTCACGTTAGCGCCCGACTTGATCCGCACTCCACCGAGCGTCCTGCCTGGCGCGACGCCGATGTTCCAGGTCACGGCGGCGCCGACCTACACGCTGGACTTCCCGGCGGAGGCGCTGCCGCAGGTACTCCGGATTCTCGCGGACCCCAGCATGCAACTCGTGCGCGCCAGCGCCCCTCACCGGAGCGTGCTCTCCACGGCGGCGGCGAAACGGATGAGCATGGAGTGGGCCTTCCCTCCAGGCACTCCGGAGTTGCAGGTCGAGCTCCTGTGGCGCCACCTCCGCCGCTCTTCCCTCCCGGCGAATGCCTTCTTCGGCTCCGTCGGCCTGCATTCTGATGCGACGGCGCTCATCTGTGAGCTCACTGAGGCGTCGGCGGCACTGCACGCCTGGGAGCTGAGCGTGAGCATGGTGGCGCTGAAGGAAAACAAGCTCCTGCTGCGCACGGATGCTGACCCAGACGTGTGGAAGCCTAGGATGACGACGCTGCTGCAGCAGGACCCGGAGGCCGCCATATTGGGTCTCAAGTGGCGCCCCTCTCGGGGTGGCCGTCCGTGGGCCCTGCCAGGAGTCACTCCGGACGAGCTGGCCGCTGCCCGCCGGACCAGAGGAGGCCGGGTTGGGATGGCTTCCCCTGTCTCCAATGTGACGGACGTGCAGGTGTGCGGATCTCCAGGGTATGACGCCCTCGGGGTCTACCGCCAACCGATGGCACACATGGAGCAGGCGACCGGGATCCACCTGAGGGAGGCTACCAGCGATGCACCCGCTGGCTGCGGGTACTGGCGCTGGCTGGCGGCATCGGACCCCGTGGCGCCGCCAGGACGCCTTCGCCTCCACCTCAGCTCGGAAGCGGAAGTCACGGCCGTCCGGGAGGCGCTCCACGGGAAGACGATTCAGGTCGGGCTGGACCGCATCGCCTTGCAGGTCACGAGCGACGCGCAGGACCTGCCGGGAAACGGTCGGCGGAGGCGGGGGGCCTGGCAGCCCGCCTCCGCGGGGCACTAGATCGGGGTTCTCGCCGTGCTGCAGGGGCGGGCAGCACGGGAATTCAGGCGATATCGCGCCTGGGCCGCATGTCGTTCCTGATCGACCTCGTCTTCGAGATCGTGCCCGTTCCAACGGGCCCGGGCTCTGCTGGCTGGGGCGATCCAGGACGTGCACTTCCTCTTCCTCCTCTCCTTCTTCATCTTCATGATTCAGAGCGAAGCGCCAGCCGCCATGGCGGCGCCTACGACGATATACCACACTCAGGCCCCTCTGGCACTGGCTCCGACCGTGCCTCCCAGAGAGCGGGCGCAGCCGCCGGCAGCAGCTGCAGCGCCGGCTGTGGGCGGCCAGTACTGGGGATCATTCTCAATCGCCACCTGGAACGCTCAGGCGCTGTTCGCCTCGGGTCCGCAACGACTGCGGCGGAAGACGTCATATGTCGGGCGCCTCGCGCGTGCGTACGATGCCGTGCTCATCACCGAGACCCATGGAGTTCCGGGTGCAGCGGAGGCATGACGCGGGCCGAGGGACTGCTTGAGCTGGTGGTCCCATGGCACTTCAGCGCGGGCAGGCGTGGGCGTGCTGCTCCAGGAGCGCTTCGCCAACTTCTTCCCGGAACGCCAGTGGATCGAAATCGACCCTGGGCGAGCAGCGGTTCTGCGGCTCGGGGGTCCACAGGGGCATGTGGACCTCGTGGTAACCTATTTTCCCACAGGCTCGGCTCGTGCACTGCGCGCCCCAGCGGGCGCCTCCGAGGCCGGCGAGGCCGGGGTCCAAGCCCCAAGCGTCTCTTTACCGATGCAGCGCGCAGCCTTGAGGCGTCGGGTCGCCCTCGCACTCCGCCCGGCGACCACTACCTTGACCGCGATCGCGGGGGACTTCAACTGGGTCACCGAGGAGTCGGACCGCATCACGCTCAACACGGGCCTCGCCTCCGGCGGGCGTGATCGAGCTGAAGAGCAGCACTGGGAACGCTTCGCACTTCGACCATTCGGCCTGCACGAGCTGCACCAACCAGCGATGACGCATCGCAGCGGCAGCGCGCATTCGAGGCTGGACCGCATATACTGGAACTAACATGTTGTGGAGCAGCTCGACCGCGATCTATTCGCAGTGGCGCTGGACTGGCAACCAGAGCTCTCGCGTCACCGTGCTGTCGCCGCCGGGCGCCGGTTGCCGTCTCGGGCGAGCGGTGCGACCCGCCCGCTCCCAGCCGCAGCAGTCCAGCACGAAGATTACGCGCACCGGGTGGCGCTTGCGTTCCACGAGGCGGTCGCTGCGGCGGAGACCACGGCGACGCCGCTTCGCAGGCTGGCGCTGTTGAAAGACTGCATGAGGTCAGTGGCCGAGAGCATCGCGCGAGACAGCCGCGAGGGGCATCCAGCCGAGACGACAGAGGACAAGCTGGGCATCACCATGCAGTTTCTCAGGGCTGCAGAGGGGGGGCATTCGGGGCGCATCAGCAAGTGCCTCGAGCGCTACCCCGCGCTGGCCAATTTAGTCGGCAACCCCTACTCGCCGCAGCTGAGACAGGCTGGTCGCCTGCAGGCGGTCCGAGGTCATGCCGTCGAGCTTGCCCGAGAGCGGGCTGTCGAGGAACTCCGGCGATTCTCGGAGGAGCTCCCTGGCTTGGACGCCCGGCAGGCGGCCGTGCGTCGGAGCCGCAATTGGCGCCGCATCTCGAGGCTTGCGCCAGGGCGATGCCAATCGATCCGGGCAATTCAGACTCCAGCGGGCGAAGTCGTCACCGACCCAGATGGCATGGCCAAGGCCCTCCGCGAGCACTGGGGCGAGGTCTTCAGAGCGAAACCCCTCGACAGCGCCCTCCGCGGGAGATGGCTCCGCGATGAGCGGCGCGCGCGGGCAGCGCGGGGGGGCTCCAGGCCCCCGCCAGCGGCCGACCCAAGATGGCGCCTACGCCCGCGAGACGTACGAGATGCCATCGACAGGGCGCCCTCCACGGCGCCAGGCCCAGACGGCTTGCCTTTTTCGGCGTGGAAGCGCCTCGGCCCCCTCGCAGTTGACGTCCTTTTCTCCGTGCACGAGTAGCTATCCAGCCCCGACGCCGAGGGCGCCATCCAGCGCGACCTCCCAGGGTACAACGACAGCCACATGGTGTTCCTGCCGAAGGCCCCACCGCGGAGGGCGCCGACGGAAATCCGCAGGTCGCGCCGTCAGACACGCGGCCGCTGAGCTTGGTTAACGTGGACAACTGGCTGCTGGCCAGCGCGGTCCGCCAAAGGCTTGAACCGCTCCTCGCCGCGGAGGTCTCGCCAGAACAGCGGGGGTTCCTGGGGGGGAGATCCATGCTAGCGAATGCGATTGACGTGGACAAGGCGATGCAGACGGCGGCGCTCGCATGCGAGGACGGCGCGGCGATCTTCTTCGATGTCGCTGCCGCTTTCCCTAGCGTGGGCCAGGACTTCCTGCTGGACGTGCTCGCAGACTCTGGCATCCCGGCCGGGCCGCTGCAGTACTTCAAATCACTCTACGCCCAGAGCCGTTGCCGGTTGGTCATTGCCGGCGAGGAACACGAGGGATTCCCGGTGACTGCCGGGATCCGCCAGGGCTGCCCGCTTTCCCCGCTGCTCTTTGCAGTGGCGGCGGACCTGCTTCTCCGGCGCCTCGGCAGGGCCCTTCCCGATGCTGTCCGCCGCGCCTGCGCAGACGATCTGGCCGTGGTGACCAAAAGCGGGGCAGCTGACGCGGGCACTTTGGAACCGATCTTCGGGGACTACGCCGCCCTTTCCGGGCTCCGCCTGAACGTCGGCAAGACAGTCTGGGTTCCGCTTCGCCTCGGGGACCCCGAAGGCACACGGCAAGAGGTGGCCGCCCGCGCGCCAGCTTGGTGCGGGTTGCGATTCGCGCACCGAGCCAAGTACTTGGGATTTCTTTTCGGGCCAGATCGAGGGGAATTGGGCTGGGCCGCGGCCAGCGCCAAATTTCTCCAGAGGGCTCGCGCTCGGGGCCGCTCGGGAGGCGGCATGCTGGCCAACACGATCGGGTACTCAGCCTACGCATTCTCCACCATGAGCTTTCTGGTTCAGTTGGACGCGCCACCGTCGAACTGGAGGCAGTTAGAGAGTGCCGCGCTGCAGTCCCTCTACGTCGGCCCCGGCCGGTGGGCGCCAGCCGCCGCGCTGCACGGTCTCCCCCTTCTAGGATTCCCGACCCGCCTCCCAGACCTTCACTCGACGGCGATGGCGGCCAAGTACCGGGCTTGCCCGTGGGAGGCCGCCGCGGAAGGTGGATTGCACGTGGCTGCGCGGGCGGCGGGGCTCCGGTCAACCCGTCTGGACGCTTCGGCGTCGCTGGCCCGCTTGGGGAGGTGGAGCAGCTGGTTCGACAGCGCGTTCCTCCTGCAGCTGGACGATGCGCGTAAGTACTTCCTGCAGCGCGGCATGGGCCAGCGCGGGGTTGCGCTCGCAGCGGGCACCTCGGACCCGGCGTTGCTGAAGAAGGTCTGGCAGCGAACTTGCGCGCTTGGCCGCGCCTGACCGGGCCGCGCCCCTAGCGCGCTTCCTGCGGCACCAGTTGTCCCGCTGGGCGTGTGGCCTCTCAGAGCAAGAGATGGCTGACCGCGCCCTGCGCACGTACCCCGCAGTGGCGAGCCGAATCCCGCCTCGAGCACTGGCCGCATGCTTGCGGTCGCTGTGGAATGGGTGGGTTGCCGCCCGGCGATTCCAAGGGCGCGCTGGGTGCTGCTTCGGGTGCGCGACGGGCGAGGACTCAATTGAGCATTGCGCAGACTGCCCCTGCGTCGCGGAGGTGGCGGCCAGTCAACTGGGCCTGCCCCGGCCAGCCTCCCAGGAGGAAAGGCTCTCCAGATTCCTCCTGCTGTCGCCGCCTCATTCAGAAGGCGCCGCTCTCGAGCTGCAGCGCCGGGCGCTAGTCACGGCCAGCGTCTACCTGACCCACTGCTGGGCCCGGCATGCCGCGGAGGTCAACCCGGTCATCTGCGTGAACGCGCTGAAACTGACTCTCCGGCAGCTCCTGTAACAATGTCGTCGTTTTGGCCAGCAAGGGCCGTCCAGGCCGTGTGCTTCGTTTTTGGTCGTTCAGGCCTATCCTCGTTTCTAGTCCCCGCTGTTGCTCTCTCGGCGACTCCGGGCTTCGCGGCGGGAGCCCCAGCAGACCCGCGACACGCCGGCGTCCACCCATTCGCCCCCCTCCTCTCGCTCTGCCTCCTCCTCCTCCTCCTCCTCCTCCTCCTCCTCGCCTTGTCCCCTCTCGGGCGGCAGATCTGGGGGATGCCAGCCCGTCGATTTTGGTTTCATGCGGGCCGTTGGATGTCCCAGCCGCGTTGCCGCTAGCGTCACAATTTGGGCCGATATGGAGCGAGAAGGGTCAAAGTTGTCCCGCGCCTCTTCATGCGTCCCTCCCCCCTCGTCTCTTTCCTCCCGCTCTCGCCTCGCGGAGGCGGTGCGCCGGCTTGCCCTGCCGGGGCAGGCCGGCTCTCCGCCTCCTCTTCCTGTCTCGTCCTCGCTCCCCCCCGAATGCTGCGGCCCCAGCTTTTAACCAATGGCGGCCCGCAGCGTCTGCAGGCGTAGCCACATGCCCTCCTTCTCCCGCTTTTCGCCTCCGTCCTCCGCCTCCCTCCGCCTCGCCTTTATCCTCACGTGGCGCGGGGTGCGCCAGAGTGGCCACTCCGCTTGCGGAAAATTGGCGCACGCGCCGGCTGCACGCGGGGGTGGGCCACGCTCGTGCCGCCCGGTCTGGTCGCCGCTCCATGCAGGGAGCCGCTGTTAGCCCGCGCTGCCTGTGTCGGCTCATCGTGCCGCCCACGGTCCTCACGGCATGGCCGTGCGGACACTTCCAGGTTCTTATCCGTGTCCCAGCTGCCAGCGAGGTGCAACTCTATGACTTGCCAGTCTCATTCAGTTCGGACGCTCTGGCACGCAGGTTCACGCTCAGCGTGTTTGATTGGAGCTCCGTTGAGCTGAGAGGGCCTTGAGACTCGCATGCTTGTCTGTTTACTGTCTCCCCTTTCCGCCTCCTCCTCCTCCTCCTCTCCCCGC